GAAGAATCCTACTGATAATTGTTTTAACGCTTAAGTTGCAGCTTACGTAAAAGAATGAGTACAAATTTGTATTAAAAAGAAATCTAGAAGTTTGTTTTTATATTATAATACTAGGTTTTGTACTACGTTGTCATCCAATAAATAATGTCTAACTGTTGCCTAACATAGCAACGGCTGAGCAACAAAATATAAAGGGAGGGGACAATTTTCTTTGCTAGATAAGCATATGTATACTCGTGGTATGTAAGATCGCTGTTGGAACGGACTCGAAATTGATCGTGCCATTGGCCCTATTCTCCGAAGCGCTTATCTCGCGGCGTTTCTCGGGGAGCTGCTTTCAAAATTCTAGCTCTGATTTGATAAGGGCGGAAAGCGTTTATCTGTTTACCATTGTACTTGAGTCTTGGCACACGCAGCTTGGAGCACCTGGGTTGCTGCCTCCAGTGTGCCCAGATTTGAGAGTTTTCAATTGCTCTCTCGGTGTCACACTTTGGTCGCTTTAGCGATACAAGTTAGATGGAGAACGAGAAAGCGTCAACCGTCTGCAGGTGTCTGCAAGCTTTGCTCAGCCTCGCCTCCCGCCATCGTCCTCGTCACGCCGCAACGCACAGATGCACGAATTACAACGCTGCCTGGAAAGCGTCTAGCGGTGTGCTTAGCGTCCCATTCCGCCCACGCATCCAAAGCAGAGTGTCGAACCGAAATTTTTATCGGTTCGGTTCCGGTTCGGGTTCACGGCTTTCGGTTCGGTTCCGGTTCAGTTCCGGAAAGCAAAAAATACCGGTTCAAACCGGTTCGAACCGGTTTGAACCGCTAAATTGAGAATATATTTTTCGCGTTGTTCTGGCAATATACACTATTTGCGCCGTGAAACGATAAGCTATATAGTTTCTTCGATCGTCCGTGAAATTTACTTTTGTTTTAGGTACCAAAATATGAAATTCAGTTATTTAATACCAGTAACATATATTTTACCTGAATCAAAATGTTTAAGTACAAGAGTAAAGAGTTGAGCTGGTTGGTACATAAATGTAGATAGACCAGCTTCAAATTTAGAACTATACTGTATTTTATTGTGCTTTCTTCGTGTTTAAGCAAAATTCTAAAGTTCAAGCTGATCTATTTACACGGTATAAAATGTTGTCGCAAAGTTTGGTAGGTCGCCTAAAATACCCGTGATTGGTAGAACTTTGTGTCGCAGTGTTAAAAATGAAATCGCGATTGTGTCCTTGAACTAAGGAATTAATTACATCCCATAAATTTATGAAATGAGCACCTCGGTGCTCATGCTACTTATGAAATAAGGTTTACAAAATACACTCCACAATATATATGTATATGATGACGACACAACTGAGCTAAAAGCAATGAAATTTTCAGAATGTACAAAAGTTTTAGGGTAATTCCTTTCAGTCTATTTTTTTATAGAAACACCGAGCGGGCAATCCAAATGCTTCTTGTTCTAACCAAACATTATTTACACTCAGCGCCGCATGCATGCCACTAATCATGCAGCAAGAAGTAAACGCAATTATTCACTCTAATCTATACGCACCTTCACGCTCAGATCGAATCTGGCCCAAAATAGCGCTTGCCCAAGTTAATATTTTCTTATGCAGAATAAGCTGGTATAGCCTGGCTGTTGAGGTTTGTTCTTGACAACATGCCGGTCAATTTAATTTGCAAATGAGCATCATCTTTGCTAACTGATAATTTTAACTCGATAGCGTTAAGGAGATCATGTCGCAAAAAAGCCGATGTCGGTGGCGTGACTGGAAAATCCTGATTGGTCGATAGGTTCATGGGATGAGAGCTGCATACCCTCGCGCAAGAATTTCAAGTTTTCCACAATGCTCATGTGAAACGTGACATCACGCGTGGAATGAGAGTGATTAAAACATGACATGTAAGGCGAATTAAAGGTCGCCGTATGTCTCAAAAAATTTCACTTTTGAAAGTAATTATTTTGCCTTAACGAAAAAAAATTATAATTTTAGGTGGGATTCGATCCCACGACCCTTTAGTTGCGAGTCAGACGCTTTTCACTAGAAACGGCGCGAGCGTCTGGCACGAGAAAAACGTGCTTTTTGGTAAGTGCGTTTTTGAAAGCAAAGTAGCTTCCGGAGTCACGCTTTTTGGTCTGCGCCAAAGATGCAGGGAAAAGGAACCTTTACAACACTAGGTTTTTAAAACTCCCCCCTCTCCCGCTTCCCCCCCCCCCCCTCACACACACACACACACACACTTCTTTATAGAGCGGAGTTGTTAAGGGCTAGCTTCCCCAGTGTCGTGACCGTCAGCAAACAAATGATGACACTAAACTCTGGACAGCTACCGCCATCTATAAATGACGACGGCAACCAGACCACCGACTTGTCGGTTCTCTGGTTGCCACCGTCGCTCATAGATAGCGGCAGCTGTCCAGCCTTTCCACTCGGGCTTGCCAACTTGCGGCCGGCCATTCCTTCATTCCCACGACAGTACAGCTTCGCTGGTCTTGCTTCGTCACCACAGTGGAAAGGCTGAAAGTATTCCTGAGGAATTGCCTCCTCATTTGTGTGTATTCATTCGACAATTTTAGTTGACACTTGTTAACCGCAACCTTTCACTGCTTTTATTTTGCACCCTGTGAAGTTTAGATAGGTCATAAAACGACATCGGGTTGGAATTTTCATGACTTTTCCGAGGCGTACTGGTCCTCTGGCCCAAGTATACTCGCACAGGCCGCCACTAATTCAGAAGCTTCTTTGTCGCGGTGAAATTGCGAGGATTAAATCAGACTATTTCTTTCAGTCTTGCCTTCCCTGCTTGCTTGATGTCGCTATTGTAGAATCATAACCACCCGCCTGACGACAGTCGAGGGTGGCTTATGGATTGGACAGGAGGACTGCGTGAGCACCGTACATTGGCTCGTAACAATCAATGTCTTGGCAGGCACTTGGGTAGTGGCTCGTGTCCAACCACTGCGGTGATGAGGATAGCCGAACTCTAACAATGCCTGGAGCTGAGCACGCGTTTTCTTCCTTTAAAACCCCAGCGCGGGGGTATGATTAACGTTGGCGGCATAATATAGGCACCAGGCCTCGTGGCCGCTTCTGGCTCCGAGTTAAGGGGATGAACGATGCTCATATTTCTCGAATTTTTAGGTGACTGCCATTGCCTAGAAAAAATAGCAAAGCCAAGTTGAAGCAGTTATTACGTTAGGGAGTCATCCATCCTGAGTAGTATTTAGTAATGTATAGAAATATTTTTATAGCTCCTTTAAGCAAAGTGCAGAGGGAGTCGAAACTTGGGCAATAACTTTAGAACGACGCTTGTGTGAGACTTACAGCGACTGCCAACGTTCGGCTGTCTCTCTGAGGTCACTAAAATATCCTCTTTTTTTGTATTCCTTCCGTACAAACGTTTAGTTCTATGTAACGTCATATTAATAAGTCGCATTTAGTAATTTCAGTACTTCTATTCTCAGGGACATCTTCCGGATGCAGTTCAGCAGCAACGAAAAAAATATTTTTGCAAGACCCATATTAAAAATGGGTCTTGCAACATTTTTTCTTGTACTTTCAATAAATAGTGTTAAAAAATAACCCCTAACGTTGATAGCTTGAGGAAACATCCATTAGTTTTCCCCTAATAGCAGGTGCAGAAAAAATAAAGGAAAGAGACAGCTGTCGATATCTCCTCTACCGCCAGTGTTGATCACAGCCATGCTCTAGGCGGCTAGGGTTTGGAAAGCAAAAGGTTGGGCCGAGCTTCAAATATGGTTAGGGTTGTTCTATTATCATTAGTAATTGACTTGAGCCGTTACCCGAATGTTTGGCGGTGCTGATTGTCATGAACCAGAGCGATCGACTAGGAGTTATGAAAATCGCTTACGTCACGGTGTCACGTGGCTCTCGCTGCGGAATCGTGATGTCATGTTACGTCATGCTGTCAACAATGTTAATAAATATAGTGACTTTCTCAAATTAAATTGAGTTAACGCAGTGAGTCACGTGACGTCATGAGGTCACGTGATAACATGTATTGACACCATGGCGTCACGTGACAACGTGACACATGGTTAATCATAGTGTCATAAAAACCCACAACTTACCATACTTTTCAGTTCTGTATATGACGATCTGATCCATAGATAGAAATACAGCCGCCAATTTTTTATTCACATATGCTCATTTTGTGATACTAACAAAAGAGACAAAAAAGAAATATTACCTTGAACCGTTTTGAACCGGTTATCGTTATGTTTTTTTTCGGTTCGGTTCCGGTTCAGTTCCAAGATGGCGGCGAAGATTTCGGTTCGGTTCAGTTCCGGTTCGGCTAAAAATAACGGTTCTGTTCCGGTTTTCGGTTCGGTTCTGTTCCGGTTCGACACCCTGATCCAAAGTAAACCCCAAGTGGCAACACTTGACGTCACAAAAGTCGAAGTGTCGTACTGTCGAATGTAGCGATCCTGGTGGTGGGCCGCAGAAGTTCCGGAAAGAAGCACGAGCAAACGCGAGTGTCGCTGTGGTCGCAGCGTCCCAACTCCTGGCTGCCGAAGTTTCCGTGGACTGTCACACTGGAGAGTGACCTGCAGAAGAGCAGGCGTCTGCCATATTCAGCACCGCTGGTTGGGACGCCGCCAGGAGCGGCACCGGCGACAGCATGACACTTCTATGACGTCATCAAGTGGAAACGGAGGGTCCAGTTTCTTGGACGCGGAAAAAACACCGGTCGGAGACGCGTTCCAAGCCCCCTACCAAAATTGAGCAGCAGGTGTCTGTCAATAAATTGCCAACGCTCTTTGTGGTCTCAGTTGCTCCCTCTCTGAAATAAAGGCTCGCTAGCTGCCACCCCCCCCCCCCCCCGTCCCCCCGTCTGCGTTCCGCAGAAGTAGTGGCCCAATAAAGCGTAATAGTGTCGATGCCCAGACTCTCGATAGGCACGCATCCAGATAATGGTTTTTTCGGGGATTCCCAGTCGCACAATACAGATATAGTCCCGTGTCTGACGTCCAGATTGCGGTTAACGCAGGAATTCCCAGTCGAGCAATGCAGATATAGTCTCGAGTCCAACTCAACGGTACGAGAGAGGCCATGGATCTCGATGAACTTAGGAGCAAGTACAGGCGAGAATTTGTCGCCGCCGATTATCCAGGCTTGGTTAGTGCTCACAGCTTCCTGAGACACTTCCACCAGAGAGAACTTCACTCGATATTTAAATCCCGTAAGCCAGTTTTTATTGCCTTTGATATTCGTTTCATTGGGGTCTCTGACTTAAACATGCCCCGTAGACTCACCTCTTTTAAAATGCACGAGCGTACTACTTTGAACGTAACCTCGAATGTTAAGAGTACTTGAGGCTGCAGATATAATGCTATAATAGCAATCTGATTCTTTGTTACGTATTGAAAAGCGGGATAATAAGCCGCGGATATTCGAGGCTGTGGCCGCCTGTATTTCTAAGATCTAGATGGAAGGATGGAGTCCGCAAATGTTTCGAGAGACTGGAGGTGAATGTATTCCCTAAGAATAAGCGCGGAAACGTTTAAACAAGTACAGTTAACTGGATCATGTGTAATCCATTTGAGATATAATTTTGAGAGGGTACAAATCGGCGATAAAGTGCGAGCAAAAATTAAAGATGCATAAAAGTCCTGCTACTTGCTTTTTGGGTTATTGCTTTATCCGTGCACGTATTCCATTAGCTATAACTTAGAAGATACACAAAATGCTAATGTTGTTTGTTTTTTTTTTTTTTTGTCATTCTCCACAGAAAAAAAAAAACTCAAAAGGTAGATTGCTGATTGCAGGGAAAGCAGTGGTAGTCTGACGGAGGACGATGCGGGGTTTTATTCGCAGTGCAAGTAAAGGTGCGGGCCCCCACGCGAGCCCTCTCCCTTTTCGAGCGCTGAATAAAGCTGCGCGTGCGTTCTCTTAGGAAATGCGAAGAAAAGTTGTCCCCGAGTGATGCGCTTGGACGTCACCGAAGCAGGAACGGACAGTGCTCGACCCGTCGTGATGTCTTCAAGTGCAGTGGAGCAACCAATGTAATGTGGCGTGCCTACGCGCATCAAGTGTTTGCGTCAAATCAGGCTTCATACGGTGTGCGTGACGTCTAACGAGATTTGAGAGGATGATTGACAGACGTTCCTGCGGATTTCTTTTCAGTGCCGGACAGGAAGCGAAGCCTTCTGGACGTTGGTTGCGGGCCCACAACCTACAACGTGTTCCCAGCCACGAAGCGCGTGCAGGACGTCGTGCTCAGCGATTACGTGCTCGGGAACATTGTGGAGGTGGAGAAATGGCTGAAGAATGCTCCCGACGCTCTCGACTGGTCCTGCTATAGCGAGTCTCTGGCGAGGCTCGAAGGATTCAGGTAACGAGCTTCAGATTTCAAAAACGACCCTGGGTATAGCGTTAAAACGTGCTCTGTGCTTATTCTATTCAGTCAGAGTAGCACTTAAATCTTAGTTTGTTGAGTCCTCCTTTTCCGACTCAGCATTGGTAGGGTTAACACGTCTTGAAATAACTGACATTTAATGGCTTGCTCGTTACTCCCATCGGGCGACCTCAAACGGCTTGTTGATTCATACTGTGAGGCAATACTTAGACATTTTCAGTATTTCAGCCTAAGACAATTTAAAGATAGAAAAACGTGTATGTGCACACACCGTGGGTGTATCGCTGTCTTTTTTTTTTTATTATCTTGATTTGAGATATAAAATTTATTCACCAACTTGCCTGAGATTTTACTCCTTCATAGAAACTCTCCTTAAATAAATACAACGAATAAACTAACGAACTTCTCATGCCTTTTTTGTTTTCTCTCTGACACCCGCTTTTTGGCTCATTTGGATATTCTATGCTTAGTCACTCGGACCGGTTAAAGCTCCTTTCTGAGAAAGTGCACTCTCAGAAGAAAAAAAGGCACGGCGCGTCTTTGTCGATTCTATCGTCGCGCCCCCCAGCGGACGCAATAGGAAGGGAGGAAGGAGACATACGTCCCAAGTTCAAATGCCTCATTTTCGGGATTTAATTCGAAGCATGATTATTAAAACTCACTCAAAGACACCGGGAAGTACGGACCAAAAGATCGACTGAATGCACTAGGAAGTCCAGCAGACGCCCGACTTCCGGGACAAGCATCAAACTTCCGGTGGCTTCACTTACGCCCTGCTCGGATGCAGGTGAATACGTTTATTTAAAGACAACAAAATATATATATCTCCGGAGGCTCGAAGTTTTCATGACGCGGTGGCCTTAAGGCTCCTAGGTTAAAAGTGTTAGATGGAGTTTCCCAGGCTTCCCTCAGAAATATACTCTAAGAGAGATCTGAGGATCCTGGTCTTGCCTGAGGTGTCGCCCGTTGGGTGCGTCCAGTCCTGCAGTTTGGAAGGTCTTTGATCATTCGCCACCTTACTGAAGATGAGTGCTCTGAGGGTGAAGAGGGCCTCACAATTTTAGAGTAGGTGTTTAAGTCTGGGAATGGATTCCTCGGCTTGGCATCACTGGCATTTGGGGTCGGGAGGGATAGCGTAGGGTTGTTGTTTCTTAAGTGTTGCCAGGTCCCTTCGGTATCTGAACCTGGACGTGACTGTTCCTCCTGCTCTTAGGCGGCGGAGCATCACTGATTCTTTTCTCTTGAATTCTTCCCTAGGAAGAGAATGTTGCTCTGGGGTCCATGATCTTGCCAGAAGATGTTTTCGTGTCTTCTGGGCTAGCCGGAGTTCCTCCCCTGGGTCGTAAGGGGGGAAGCTCAGTGTCTTGTTGCTGTAGTGTTGAGCCTGCCGTAGAGGACTGAGACAACAGGGACGGTTGCGTCTGACTCCTCATCGCCTGCTGAGCAGCCTCATGGGCAGCTCATTGCCCGAAATGCCTTCGTGCCCGGGAGTCCACCTGACATTAATTTGAATTATCTTGGTTCTGTATAGCGAGATTGCAAAGGCGAAGATAGCGTCAGTGGTGGGGCTAGAAGAAGACCTGTATTTCTGGAGTTCTCTGGTGGTGTCTTGCGAGTCCGTATAGACGATTAGCTGTTGTTCGTATTGCAGGAGGTGCACTGCCCCTCGGATGGCTTGCAACACCGCCTCCCGTTCGGCGAAACCCGGCGTGTGGTGGCGTCGAGGGTTACCTTCGGTCTCTGTCCAGGCCACATTTCCTTGGATATATCTGGCTGCTGTTGCCCAACCCATAGAGGAAATGCTGGCGTCCACATAGACGATTATGTTTTTTTCGTCCTCACCAAGCTTAGCCAGCTCCTTCTTGTGCTTGCGAGCGTATAATTCTCGTCTTTTCTTGTGCCGCGCAGCGTTCATGTTTCTTGAGAGAGGTTTGCACCCGTCAGTTATGTCAATGAGTTCCCACGGTGCCTTTCTCCGTGGTATGGGGGCGTCTTTTATCTTGATTCCCATGAACTTGGCAATTTTTCTTCCTTCGGTTGTATGCTGTAGACGGGATAGTTTGGCCTCCTTCTGTTGGTTCATGAGGTATGCGAGTTCTGGGAGGACAATACACTTGCTTACTTCTTCTGCCTGTCGAAGCGCGAGGATGGTTTTTCGTGCTCCGGTGAGCATTCTTTCAAATCTGGAAAAATGGGTTTTCGTGAGCTGGTAGAATCTCGCCGCACATGCTATTTTGGATGCTAGCACTGCAGTCACGAGTTATTTGGCTGTTTTTCTCCCAGCTCCTCCCATTTTTGTGTATGTTTTCGGACGAGATTGATACCTATTTTCTAGTTCTTGGTCATCTCGGCCAGCCATGTTTTGCTTATCCTTGGCTTGTACCCAAAGTTAATTCCAAAAATTTTAACGGAGTCCTTTTTTTTTTTTTTTGAACTGGGTCTCCCGCAAAGGTAAGACCTAGGTTTTTGTTGTCTTGATCGCGGCCGTAGATGATATATTTTGTTTTTTTCTGGCGATGGGAACATTCCCACTTCCGCAAGATATTATTTAATGGTGTCGAGTCCCCTCTGCAAAGCGACAACTTGGGTTTCGGGAGGCCTTTGATACGTCCAGATCGTGATATCATCAGCGTACATTGTCGCCCTGAGGTCGGGTATTTTATAAACTTGCCAGAGCAGTGGTGCCATGACGATGTTCAATAGTGTAGGTGACACTACAGCGTCCTGGGGAACTCGAATGTTGTTTTCTTGAAGGGTTCCTTCTCCACATTCTTTGTCATATCCGGCTCGGATTTTGTAGACCCGTCCCGAGAGAAATGATTTTACGAAGTCTAGTTGTTTACCCGTGAGGCCTTGCTGCTCTATCTTCCCAATGACTTACTGACGGGGGACAGAATCGAATGCCTTCTTTACATCGATAGACATGATCACTCGCATTTGTTTGTTTTTTCCTGGGTGCAAGTCTACGACGTCTGTGTATATATGTGCAGACTGTCATGCGTTCCCAAGCGCGATCTAAATCCTGTTTGCGTTGAATGAAAGATGCCGAGGGTTTCAGCGTTGCGCTGAATCTTTGCGAGTGCCATTCTTTCCATAAGTTTTCCCATGATTGAGGTCTAGAAAATTGGTCGGACGTTCTGGGGTCAGTTGCTGGCTTCCCTGGTTTAGGTATTGGTGTGACCAGGGACAGTTTCCATTCTTCGGGAAGTTGCCCGCTTTCTCAGATCTCGCTAAACCATTTGAGGATAACAAGACTAGTGGCGAGGTGTGCGTTTCTGAGCACGGGCACTGTAATTCCGTCTTCTCCAGGCGCACTCTTACTTCTGCACTGTTACACAGTGCGGAAGCGACACAGCGATACACAGTGCAGTGCACTGCACTGCACTGTGTATCGCCGCTCCGAGTTCCCACTCTGTGTAGGGGAGAACCTCCGGCTTGTCTGCAGGCGCCGAATGGGTTGGGTGGTAAATGATTGCCTCCGCCTTTGTTTTGGATTGTGAAAAAAAGATGTCTCTTAATTTATTGAGAATTTCTTCCGTTTTTTTTTTTTTTTAATTGGAGAGGACTGCGATGACCGGGACAGGGCTGACTCTTTTCTTTTTTCCTGACATGGATTTGAATGTCTTCCACACGTCTCTAACGTTATTTTTTTCGTCGAAGGACTCGCAGTAGCCTAGCCATCTGTCGATGGGTAATTGTTTTGCGTATATGCTTGCTTCCCGTTAGACAGTTGACCTTGTCTAGGTGTTTCTTTTGTTTCCCTTGGCGGTATTTTTCTAAGGCTCTAGTACTTTTGTTCTGTAACGCGAGGAGATGCTAGCCTGGTTCTGGCGTGCCTTCAGAGACTTGCCTTACTCCTGTGGCAATCTTTGTAGCTGTTGCGAGTAGCCCGGTGATTTGACATAGTTCCAAGACATCTCCTTGTTCTTTCTGGTTTTACCCAAGTTTGTCCCAGATTATTGTTCACGTTGGTCTTTTTTGCTTGAGATTATTGCCTCCAATGGCGACGTCCATAATGATGGGAAAGTGGTCACTGCCCTAAGCGTCCTGCGTCGTATCCCAGCTTAACTTGCGAGCTTTTGTCGGCGTGGCCAGGGTGACGTCGATTATGGTGTCTACCTGACAGCTGGTTAGCAAGTGTCTGGTTGGTCTAGTAACATCGTTGATGAGTTCTAGACCTCCGGCTTCTATTGCTTCCATGCCCTGCTCGAAGAGCGGCTATGCGTCATAAAAGAGATCAGTGGGAGATCCTGCCCCCCCCCCCCCCCCCCCGCTTCATCTTCTTTCTGTTTCGTTTTTCGAGCAAGCCACGCCCGTTGTTTAATAAACGTTGTTGTCATGATTCAGCTTCAACGGCAACGCGGGCCGCCTGTAATTTCATCTCCCAGTCCAACATGCAGATCATCTAGATTGCCGTGACGTTTTTAGCACTATTTTTTTTTTTTCAAACCAGCAAACGAAGCCGTTAGAAACAACGATGTTCCGGAGCCGTGCCAGCAGCGCTACGTACACTGGGCTAAGATGGCCGCCTCCAGATTGCGGAACAATCGTGTCGACTAGTGCCACTAAATAAGCTACGCTTCAGAGTAACGACACTTGGCCATATTGTGGATTAAAATCATGGTTGCCAGTTATCTGAACCTTTATCTGAAATCACAAGAAACGCTTTTCCGTCCTTCACAGATCTTTAAACAGTTCGCGAAAAAGCAAAGCAATATTACATGAGCTTCATAACACCGAATTTAATGCTGAGAAAGTCGTACCTTTTAAATCATGAGGATCGGTAGTTGCGTCTGCTCTGCACAAGCCCCAAGATGGCGGCGCCCACAACAATGTCGGGGAACGAAGCGCCGATACTCTAAGCGCAGCTCATTTAGTGGCTCTAGTGTCGACGTAGACGACGTTATGGCAACCGCGGAAACTGCGTCCAAGACAGGTAGATTTTGCCGCTGGGTTTTCCTGCCGGGTGCTGTGTC